GGGAAAGATGCTGCAGGCAAGGGAAGAGCTTGTAGCACTACATCAGGGCTAGCCCTGTGTACACACAGCGTTCTTCCCACCTGCCCTCACCTTGACTTATCATCAATGTCCATGATCTGCTTTATCCTCAGGGCTTACGAGGGCTCCCAGGACGCATCGGTGCTCCCGGAGCTGAGGGCATCAAGGTGAGCTCAGCCCAGCTTTCCATCCTGCTCTAGCTGCCCCATTTCCAGCAGCGTTTCCCTCTCATCCCCAGGATAGCATCATGCATGAAGAAGCCACCCTAACTCTGGCAGGAGAAGTCCCCCTTGGTGGCATGGGTCTGCAGGCTGCAGCACAGGGGGAGGTGGCCATGCAGAGCAGGGAGCTCTGGATGGGGAGGTTTTATGGCTTCCAGGGAACTTTTTGATAATCTGGGGTTAAAAAAAACCAGATCCTGCCCAAATCCCCTCCTGGTCAGTGGCTTAGCAACTGCCTGGACTCAATTAGCAATTACTGCTGGGCACATCGCTCCAATTGTCAGCACCATTGGTCCTTCCTCTATAAAGAGGGAAAATGACCCTTAATTGTCTTTTTATGAAGGGTTTTAAAAAGCTTGATAAGAAGTAAGGGAGCTATTGATAGCTGAGCCAAAGGAATATGCTGTTATTGTTGTTGTTATTAAGATTTTCCTTCATCAGCCTGGCCTATTGGGTAAATGAATTACTGTTCAGTGAATTTCCCACCTGCTTTCACATAGGTAGGCTTGGAGTCAGGGCAGTCTAAAATTTATACTGGTCTGAAATAGGACTTTGTCTATACTTAGTCTTTCTCTTACCAGGAGTGTCATCACGTTCCCCCTTCAGTACCCCTTACCTTGCCATTCCAGAGCCAGTTTTCCCAAAGTTTTAGGGGTTGTGTGGGCTTACAGCCTGTACACTGTTTCTTCATCCACAGGGAGAAATTGGCAGTCCTGGAAAACCAGGAATCCCAGGACTGGATGGACCATATGGACCAAAGGTGAATATCTAAATTATGCCTCTGCCTACAAGTAAGAAGTTTCGTAAAAGCTTTGCAGATGCTACAAATCCACCTCTGAAACATGATTCTTTCTTTCAAAGGGCACAAATGGGGTTATTCTGAATCTATTCCTATAAGACAGCACAGATCTGGGTGAACATGCTTGGGTATCTGGGATAGGGACCTCTTCACCCACCTCTGCAAGACTCGACCCAGTTCATCCACCCCAGCCCTGATGCTCCACAGGCGCTTGTGCATGTGTCAAGTAATGGAGCTTTTAAATGAAATTTTTTTCAGTCTCCTTGAGTACCACCGATGTGCAGGCTGAGAGACCCTGCTGGGTTGCACTCAGTAAACGATATTGCAATCTGAAGAAGAGACAGTTCATTCAGCAAATTGCAACCTTGCCAAGTCCGCATTGGCCATGATTTTATCTTGGCTCCCTCCAGGGTGAACAGGGAGCATCAGGAGACGATGGTGCCTCGGGGATTCCTGGGGAGAAAGGAGAAAAGGTTAGTACTCGCCAGACTGCATCAATCTGCCATTTATAAAAGAATAAATCCCACATCCATCAGGTCGAGTTAACAAAATTATACACTTTCTACATCATAGGTACCCTTTCCAGTGGGAAAATGTCAACTGTCTGGAGCATTAAGGCTGGCACTGCAGTGGGAAAGGGCAGGAGAGGGAGGTCTCCTTAAAATCACCCTCCGCCGATGTATGAAAGCCCAGGAGGGTGTCTGCTTAGTACGAGGAAAAGCCATCCAAACCCTTGAAGTGGGATTAATTGTCAGAGTTTATTCAACACCACATGCCCTGGGTAAAGGTGCCTGGGATGCTGGAGGACAGAAAAAGCAGATAATGCTGCTGCCTCCTGGGCACGTTGGCCGTGGGAGCGGGAGAGGTCTCCAAGCTCTGGAGAGGGCTAGAGTGGGCTCTGCTCAGCTCCCTGTGGGGTCCCCACCATGATCACTCCCCACTGATCTTCCTTCTCTGCATTGCTTAATTTTTCATTTTCTTCCCTAAAAGAACAAGTCTAAAATTTGTACCTTTCCATGGAGAGAAAAAAATGGGGTTTCAGTTAAAACAGTAACTGTTTTGAAAAAAAAGAAAAACACACAATAATCCCAGCAGCCTCCATCAAGTCTTTTGGCATTTTCCAGCCCCTCAGGCCCTTCTTGCATTCAGCTCCACTATCTGGTCTCCAGCTGATTTGGGATGTTAAAGAATTTGCTGCTTTTATTGATAATAACTCTTCTGGTCCTCATCCCCTGATGGTCACCTGTATCAAACACTGAGGGTTCTTCTCTTGTCAAGCAACACCTCTGGCTCATTAGGTCTCTGAGCTGTGAATGGCTGGAGGCTGGGGGATTATTTCTGGGGTAATATCACTCCCTTCCTCTTCTGTTCTCCTCTCCCACAAACATCTGCTTTCAGCCACTGCTAAAGGTTGGGTGTTGGTCTGACTGGAGGTCTTTCCTCCTGCTGTGTTTAATGGGAGCCTTTTCTGTTCACAGCAGCTCCAGGAGAAAGTTCAACAGTGCAGATGAGTAGGAAATTTGTAGGCCAGCTCTTGGTAACTCTTTTTCCTCCTCAGGAGTCACTGTTTTTTCAAGGGTTACAGACTAAAGGACGTACAGAGTTGGGCATTAGAAATTATCTAGGTATCATCCTAGAGAAGGGGACATCCCTGTCACCAAGCAGTGAGATGCCTTCTGGGCAAGTAAAGGTGGAGAACAAAGCTGAATTGATCTCCACCATCCTACTGATGCCCTGTAAATACCACAACAGCAAAGTAGAATGTAAAGATTCTCCTCCTATTGCAAATGCCATGAAAGTATTTGGGTAACGTTTGACTGGCCCATCCCTAAAACCATTTGTGCCTGATAAAAGCTCTGAACTGATCTCTGTTGGTGATTCTCAGGGAGCCAAGGGAGTTCCTGGCTTGGGAGGCTTCAAAGGACAAATGGGATGGCCTGGGAAGACTGGAGTCGCTGGACCAGATGGGCCTCAAGGGCCACAGGGTGAACCAGGGCCACAGGTGAGCAGCAAGTGGTCCATAGCATGCCCTAGACCCTGGTGAGATCTGGTGTGAGGAGAACATGAATGATAAATTCTAATAAGCTGTCTTCCAAGAGGTCTGGGATCTGCACTCCCTTGCAGCCAGGCCTGGACCTCGAACATGGGCAGACACCATCATGGCCCCTCCACTGTCTAGAAAGCCTTATGCTGGGGCAGCCCTAGTGAGGATTCACAGAATCACAGAATCATTAAGGTTGGAAAAGACTTTTAAGATCATCAAGTCCAACCATCAACCCAACACCACCAAGCCCACTAAATCATGTCCCCAAGTGCCATGTCTACACGTTTTTTGAACATCTCCAGTGATGGCGACTCTACCACCTCCCTGGGCAGCCTGCTCCAACATTTGACCACTCTCTCAGTAAAGAAATTTTTTCTATTGTCTTGTCTAAACCTCCCCTTGCGCAACTTGAGGCC